AAAAAAAGGCCGGCAGGTGGTTTTATTCACGCTTTGTAAAATAAGTAAAGTGAAGTATACAAAATAAGAGTCCTATACTTAAGCACCCAAAATTAAGATACAAGAAAAAAGCCTCAATACCCAAAATAAGAAATAAAAAATAAAGATTAAGCCAGGCAGTTGTGGCGCACGCCTTTAATCCCAGGGCAGAGGCAGACAGGTCTCTGTGAGTTCAAGGCCAGACTGGTCTACAAAGCTAGTTCCAGGACAGTCAGGGCTGCAGAGAGAAATCCTGTTTTGAAAAACAAAAACAAACGAACAAAAAAAAGTAAAGATTAATAATAATAATAACAATAATAATGATAAACCTGAGTCAAAAACATTACCTCTCAAAATGGGGGAAATAGACACCCCAATTAAAAATAACATAAAACTATAAAACTAATGACAATATATACTCTTATTAACTCAAGACCTTTTGAATTTCTCATGAAAACCATGAGGCTAATGTTTATGTGCATCTCTAAATGTTAAGTTTGCAGAGATCAAATTAAACTAAATAAGTTAATATTTAGAACTGTCTATAGGTTTTACAGATGAGGGTTCTTTATGAGAATTTCTATTCAAATCCAAAGAGCTATAGCTAATGTTAAATACACAACACACACGTACATACATAGTGGCTTAAGCTTTAAGTTTCCCTTCCCATTTCTGTCTTAGCATGTTTTCTATCTTGATTTAATTTTGATGCTCACCTCCCATCAGTTTAAACAGTGTCATCATCTTTACCTCAGAAAAATCCCACGTCCATCTCTAATGTTCCCAGCTACCTGACATTTACAAGCATGTCTGGTCCCTCTCAGAAAAAAAATGCTTCTCTATTCATCCAAGTTCTCTTCTTACTTCACCGAGTTTATGAGCCAATATAACCTCATTTTGTCACAGCTTAAAATCATCTGTGAACAACTTCAATGAAAATGAATCTAAATAAGTATGGTGGCATAAACGTGTGTGTGTGGGGGGGGGTATAGGTCCACGTCAAGTGTCTTCTTCAAATGGTCTCCATTTATTTGCTTATGATTGTTGTTTACTCAAACAAGGGTCTATAGTTAAACCTGGAGTTCTGCTTGTAACACGTGGGAAGCAAAGGAATGAGGACTGGGAATTCAAGGCCAACCTGAACTACAAAGTCCCATAGCTGAATGGGCTATATATCAAGACCTTCAATTAATCATATCTAGTAATCATATCTAGTAATCAAGCCATCCATTCACCTCAGCTAGCCAACAATTCTATCTTTTCTGTGTGTTACCGGTTCGTGTGCATGTGTGTGCACATGCTGATATATGTATCAATCAACGGACATGGAGGGTGGGGGTGGGGGGGGTCAACGCCAGGTGTCTTCCTCAATTTCTATTTTTAAAGGGCCCATCTCTGACCTTGGAGTTCTGCTTCCTATTATCCAGCACTGAGATTACAGGAACACACTGCTTATGTCTGGCTTTTCTTTCTATAAAGGTGCAAGAGATCAGCTCTTCATGTTTACACGGCAAATACTTTACCAAGGAAGCCATCGCATTCCAAATCTATGTCTTTATTCCTTAAGTTTTCCATAAGCCTGTGCATCACCCAGTAACATCTACCTTGACATTTTAAAGTTTCTTCTTAAAAATCAGTTCCTCTCTCCTTCTACACTACTTATAATAAATATACTATCATTACATTCAGGTATTTCAAAATCCTCATGATTGTAGTTCAGATCTTTTATTCTTAGAACCACCTTACCTAACATTTCTCCAGTGTAGGCTGCAATCCTAATTGCTGCAATATATTCCCAACTTATCAGCCTGATTCCACTCTTAAGAACCACACTCACAGGAGGCAGAGCCAGACAGATCTCTGTGAGTTCGAGGCCCAGCCTGAACTACAGAGCGAGATCCAGGACAGGCACCAAAACTACACAGAGAAACCCTGTCTTGAATCCCCCCCCAAAGAAAAAACCTTACACTGTATCCTTTATAAGTGTACCTATCTTACCAAAACTTCTAATGAGCCTAATAACGACACAAACAAACTCCTGACATGACATTTAAAGCCCTTCATATTCTGATTCCAGTGTATCTTTCTTCAACATACCCTTTACCATGATTAAAGGTAAGTAGAGTAAGTAATTCAGCTGAACTCAGGCTCAAATTCTAATTGCTCAATTCATTAACTGTTATAGAAGCTCTAATTTTCTCATGTATTGGGTAGTATTAATAAACCTACTTCACACAAGGGCTTAAGAAAGCACTTAACATGGTACCTAGTGGAAATTACGAGCTAAAGTTAACAATACATTGTGAAGTCACACTTTAAAGCTTTCCACCCAATTCTCTTTCTGCTTCTACGAGCCCTAGCAAAATCTTACTTTTGCCTGTTTACAATTTGTTCCAACAATGTAATTCTTTGATCTTATCTGTCAAAGGCCAATTCAAATCCACGTCCTTAATTAAATTAAATTTTCCGAAGTCACTGACCACTGGGGAGTAAATTCTATGAGGAAAATTACTGATTTTGCATTTCTCTATCACCCTACTCATTCGCTCTTTGATCCTCACCTGCAACATTTAGACTATTATCACAATCTGCTTTACATGGGAGTTTATACTCTCACTAAACTGTATGCTAGAGAAAGGAGTTCAACTCTGGATAGTGAAGCATATCTAAACACTCAGTACATGTTTGTTACAGAGGAGAGTTTAAAAGCAGAATCATTAAGCTCCAACTCTGTTACCAGGTACAATGCAAACCCTTTTAAAAACATCTTTAATGATCTTTTTTGGGTACCTAAATATCAAATGTTTTATATAACACTTAATATAAATATATCAATGCCTTCATCATTAGTTCAGAAAATACAGACTTTATATATATCATTAGTTTCCTATTCACAGCGTACAAAATAATTAATAATTAATACCTTTGTGGCAGTTAGGTACTTTATTATCAATAAGGTTTTAGCTACATGCCTCAGTCATCACATGACTTTAAAGTCTTGGTAATATAATATTCTGTTTTCCTTGGAATACTATTCATAGCAATGGTGCTAAGTATATTTTGAATGGTACCTTTCTTTAAACTCAAAATAAATCATTCAAGCTGGGGAAAGCTTAGTGGTAGAGCACTTGCTTAGTAGCACATACTCCAGAAAAACTAATTCCTAAGGACAGAAAGCGGATTGGTAAATGAATGCCAGTTAGAATTAGATATAATAAAGACTGAATACAAGGGCAAATGAAAAAATCTGGATGGAGAGAAAACTATTCATCTGGATTATGATCAGTTTATACTACTGAGTAAAAAAAGCTCTCAACTATTTAAAGTGAAATTCTGTATAAAAACTATGCACATGCCTAACCAAAAAAAATTAGACTTTCAAAACTACTATTATCTATGGTCATCAATTTCACAATCATGTTAAAAACCAGGTTCATTAAGAACTTCTGAATTTAAAAAAAATT